ATGTGTGTGTTCTGCAAAGCTGCTGCATTTATTTTGACAATAAATTATATTTATTATGAGCACTATACAATACATTTTAATCAAAGAATGTTTTTTTATTATATCCTAATAAAGAAAAAAAATACACTCCAAATAATACAAACTAAAATACTTTGGAAAAAAAATCTGTCAAATGTTTTGCCAACAGTACAATAACTAAAACGCTATTATTTAATTATTGTGCAATATTTCGACTTTACAAAATCACTTCATAATTTCACAAATCGTATTAATGGGTTTGTATACATGAAAAAAAGACTGAATTACTTTTTATTTCAACCCCATTTCAAACACTTCTTAAATCTTACAATCTTATACTAACAACACATGCACTTCAAATGTACTTTTTAAAAAAAGCAGTCACACGTTCACCTACATTCATTACTCTCTAGTCTAGTACACATGCTTTTGCATTCTTGACACGAGTATGAAGCTCTCTGTCCTTGAAAGAAGCAAGCACTTCTCCAGCTACATTTTACTAGCAGGTGGCAATTGAGCAGCCTGCGCAAAGACAACGCATTGAAATGCGCACAAAACACAGGCGCGTTCTCGAGAAAGTATGACATTCACGAGTGCAAAATGACACCAATAAATCAATAGTAGTCTTCAAGGAGTAGTAGATAAGTACTGATATCAAATACGGGTCGCGGGACGTAAATAACCGCGGAATGACATTGGATGCATTTATGTAAAGCAAGACGCTTCTATTTAAATATACAAAGGTGCAAACTAGCTCTGCGAATGACGATTATTTAGTAATTTCATAAATCAACATTTCACATGCATATGCATATATTTCAATTTGAATAGCAGCCCATGAAGAGCTCGCGAGAGATGAACCTCGTCTCGTCTCTCGTGGCTCATGACATAATTACGTAATGCAACACACTGCTCTGTCTTTGACAGGCTAGACCTAAATAAAGTTTTTACTCACCAGGCAACATTTTACAACAGTTAATAAAAGTATTATCAACTTATCTATATAATAATGTCATTTGAGCACTAAACACGCTCGCGTATTTAAACGTAATCTAAAACGCTTCGGTCGTGTGACTGGATGCTGCGCTGGCTAGTTTCACCGCTAGCTAAAAGCTAACAAGAGCTGTCTTAATTTGAACTCATCTTCAAAATATCACAGAAGAGATATTGATAAGAGAAAAACAGTCTTCTCTTCTGAGATGAGTGTGACATTAGACAAGTCGCCGCATTACGTTTAAAGCTGCTATCGACCTTCCAGTCTGGGGACCGTCATCCTCGGTTTCATATGAATATAAAAGTCATTTCCACTCACCCCCCTGCGAAGAGATGTAACAGCGTGTCTTTCTGCGCCATTTCAAAGAGCCATCGTACCTCACAAAAACGTTAGACTTAAAATAAAAACTAAACGTAGTCGCTTAGGCCAGCGGCCTGACGATGCTCGACAACCGGCTTCTTTAGCTTTAGCTTTAAACCCGGATAAGTACCCTGAACCCACGTCACAGGGGCTGGCCGGGGGTGTTGTCCATGACGTCACGCCATCGGTTTATGCACAAACAAAAGTGTAAAATTAAACTGCTGCAGAATATCAGGTGTGACATTCTGCAATATATAAAAGGTTAAATACGGATAAATTCGCAATAGTCAATCATTTTTATCGAGTGAATTTATTTAAGCTGTATAGTTCCATATGGTTCTACAGTTCTTTAATCCAAAACTACTTTAAAATGCAAATTTAATAAATCTTTTCCTATATTCTATAGCCTATTTCCTATATTTAATATAATTAATAATATCCTGTATTCGTGAACATGAAACTTGGAGAGTCAATGAACCCTGTAGCCTAAGTTTTAAACTTTTTGTTTTGATTTGAAATTAATAGCTATTGGGATTTTTATATCTAGAGGTACATGAATCTTAAGTATATTTAGCTATTTAATATCATATGTAACATTTTACAGTGTATTTAACCTAACAGGTTAAATACATAAAAAACACAGTCAATAATTTTTATTTAGTCATTTTTTTCATGAATTTAATTCATTTCTGCAGTGCCACGTGCTTAATTCTTTAATGTAAATATAATTCATTTTTTGCAAATGCAAAATGTATTTTTTTTCCCTAAAGAGCACTCTAATGCATAATTTGCCAAAATAGACAAACTAAAATGGTGGAGACTCCTACAGCATATCTGTTGTTAATTGTGGAGTGAATATGATACCATATCCAGCACTCAGGCATGTAAAAAAACATAATTGGACAGACAAGCTGCTAAGAGCGAAGCAGCCTATGAGAAGAGGGGGTGTGTGAGGGGAGGGAGGTACAAAAATCTAACAGCACACCTATTAACTATGTACTGATAAGTGGGTCATTGAGAGTTGTTGACACTGCACTGTGTTTACTAATTATGCTGGATAACCAAAAAGAAAAAAGAAAAACAAGAAACGTAGCACTATCATCATCTTGTTGAAGATATCCACTGGTTAATAATAAACGCCCTACAGAAAAACACTTAAAGTTCTCTATTGTTTTCATTTTAAGGCTGCAGTAAATATTTATGGTTGACTCATATAGACATCCTGTAGGACTAGTTATTCCAGATATATTTACCTTGCCTTGCAGATAGTGAAACTATCACCACCACTTCTGCTCTGTTTTTGTTTAACTGCTTTGTTTAAATATTGTTTTTTTTTTTTCAATTCTGATTGTTCACAACACATTTAATGTACTAAATTTAAATTCCTAAATATAAGACTTATTAAAAAAATAAGACTTAATTATAGTTACTTTACCGTGTTGACAGTTCTTCTGTGGGTGTTTCTGGTCACATGCCTTTTTTTGGCTACATTAATTTTAATGACAGACAGTCTTGGCAAAACACTTTACTTACATAACATGACTTGGCAAGTGATATTACTGTCACATATGAATTCTATCTTCTGAAAACCTCAGATGAGACAGCATGGATCTAATATTAGCTTAAATTACCTGCATATCTCTCCAAGGGAATATCAAATATAAAATGACTGAGATGTCCTGGGGTTTGATTCTGTTCCAAATTCCGGCAGATTTATGCTACTGAGTTCAGAGAGTTCATGACCTTCATGGTCAGAGTTTTGCCTTTTGGATCCACCAAAGGTACACAACAGGCAACAGACCGCTTTTATTACATAAGCAGGTATGTGCAATGGTGCTGCCAGCTAAAGCAATACAGAATATGAATTTCATGGTTATAATGACACAAGTGCCAATATTTATTCAAGACACATACATGTAATTAAGTGGAATGTTCACTGATATGTTCTTGAATATATTTTAATAAATATTGTATACATCATTTTAAATGCATTGAAATATTGTATAAATAAATGTATTTCTCATATGCCTATTAAGAATGAGAAAATGCTTGCTATTCTCAATTAACCTCTCAATTAAATTATTTATTATTATTATTATTTTGGAAAAGATGACACAGGCTATTTACCGTATCAGTACAAAAGTAGTTAACACAGACATAAATAAATAAATTGCAATAAGAGCAATAAATACAAGCACAAGGCATCATAGACCTACGCAACAAATTAAACAAAATAATAAAAGGACTAAAGAAAAAAAAAACGAGAAAATCTGCACAGAAAATTGTGATCAGTTGTGATCTATCTATCTATCTTCTTTTTAACTTATTTATTTTCTTCTGTAGACTATCTGGTATATTATTGTGTATTTTTTTAAATGATCCCTTTTTATTTGTTTAAATTATTTATTATTATTATTATTTTGGAAAAGATGACACAGGCTATTTACCGTATCAGTACAAAAGTAGTTAACACAGACATAAATAAATAAATTGCAATAAGAGCAATAAATACAAGCACAAGGCATCATAGACCTACGCAACAAATTAAACAAAATAATAAAAGGACTAAAGAAAAAAAAACGAGAAAATCTGCACAGAAAATTGTGATCAGTTGTGATCTATCTATCTATCTTCTTTTTAACTTATTTATTTTCTTCTGTAGACTATCTGGTATATTATTGTGTATTTTTTTAAATGATCCCTTCTTGTATATTTGTTGTAAATATTATTTGTTCCGTAAATAAATAAATAAATACATAAATAAATAGCAGTAGCACGGTTTTAGATTCTGGGAAATCTGCGACACAGGAGAAACATGTGACATAGCAAGACGTGAGAAAGACACTCGTTCTCTGTTTTGAAAATGTTAGACTGTTTAAAAAAAACACAAGATTGTTTTATAAAACAATACTATTATTCTATTTTTAACGTTTTTAGAATATCGGGATATTTCATTCGTTTTTATCCACAACGACAATGATAATTTTCCGTTCATATTTGACCATATTTTGGTGATATTTACACTTCCCAAAACAACCGGAATTATCCGTTCAGTCTGATTTGACCATAGGATTTGACACAGGAAAATATATGATTCGACTCAGACATAGCCTACAGAACAACAGCTATTTGTACCGCAACATATCTGGCTCGGAACCTTTGAAGGTTAAATCCGTTCTCAGGGGAACCTCCATATTCAATGGACCGGAAATAGACAGAGTCACATTGAACATTCTTGAACTGGCAAGGTATGTGATCTGATTGGTATTTCTTAAAAGAGCATAAGAGTTGCCTACTTGTTTACAGATGTATTAATGTCTATATACTTATCACCCAATACTAACGCTATGAAGCCAAGCTAACAGCTGGCTTGAATTAAAGATGAATGAAAGACTCCTCCAGCATGAACTGAATAGTAACGTTATACAGTGTAGTCTATACCGTGACGTTCCTGTCAGTATATCAGTTTTGTGTGATTTTATATATATAAATAGTGATTTTATTAGTTGTACCCTGATTACAGTGTTGCTGTTGCTAAGGCTAACGTTATAGCAATTTTTTCGTATTTCGTCTAAAGCATGCTGTTCATTTACTGACCATATTTACTTTAACCATGTCTTTTTGGTTAAAAATACACTAACTTTAGAAATACTTAGTGGCAAAGTTGTTGGTCGTGATGGAAACCACAACTGAGGATAGTAGTAATAAAATATATACATTTCAAGCTATTTTATGCGTTTATGCTTAAAAAGATACATGCATTGCTTTGCAAATAATTAGTTTCCAAGACAGCTTTATCGTGACCTTTATATATTGCAAAGAAAATCTGTAAAAATCATCCCCGGGACATAAAATTGCTTGTGGTTAACGAAACACCCATTTGGAAGCTACACAACTATATATTTTGTATATTATATTTTCAGTCCATGATGCTCTTGAAGGTGCAACGGCCATAGGACTGTAAACCATGTTTCTTCCAAGGGTGGTTTCACGGCTGAACCTGCTTTTCAAAGTGTCTGGTAAAGCTTATTCAATTTTTGCATCAATAACACATTTCATTTTTCTAGATAGTTTTACAATGTCCCATACTTTTTTCTTTTGTTTTCCAGGTTCATTGCAGAACCAGAGCCAGGCGTTATGCAGTGTTGTGCAACACTGTCATTCTACTCATTTCAGAGCTCTTAAATATTCAAACAGATGCTTCACTTCAGCCGCTGACAACAAACTTCCACCCAAACTATGGACACCTCTTGAGCCAGAGTTAGAGGAGGTTCTTGTGCCCCGTAAACTATCAGTTTCACCCTTGGAAAGCTGGCTTTCTCTGCGCTACTCTCTCCCCCCATTGCTGGAGGCTTCACCGCCTTTGGATGAAGGTGAGTTTCTGGGAAAATCCATGGTGCTGCCTCCATTTGCGGTGCCATTACCGGAGGATGGGGAAAGCTCAACACCACTGAACTGCAAGAATGTGCTGCAGATCCGACGAAGGAAGATGAACAGGCACAAATACAAGAAGCTGCTAAAACGGACCAAGTTCCTGAGGAGGAGGGTGAAAGATGTCAGGAGGAAGAAAAAACAGGTCAGTTATGTTAGTCATCTAGACCAGTGGTTCCCAAACCTGTCCTGGAGGCCCCCCTGCCTGCACCTTTTGTATGTCTCCCTTATCTAACACACCACCTGATTCCACTCATCAGCTTGTTAGTAGAGACTGCAAGAACTAAAGTGTCTGATTAGGGAGACATGCAAAATGTGCAGGGCAGGGGGTCCTCCAAGACAGGTTTGGGAACCACTGATCTAGACATCAAGAGTAAATAGTGTTTTTTTGTGTTATGTGATTTAAAATATAACGAAGTATATTCAGGGATTCTGTGGTGTTAAATTTGTCTTAAAAAGTCCAAATTCACCCTTCAACAAATTAAGGCCTAAAAAGGTCATAAATTGGAGTGTATAGTCTTAAATTCATAAAGTCATGGCATGAAATGTTGCATAAACTGCAAAAAAAAAAAAAAAATGTTCTCAGTATTTGTTTTGTTTTACAGTACAAATATGGAAAAATTCTTAAATCAAGGTACATTTACTGATATGCAAATTTTAACACAGGAAGGCATGCATTCTGA